AACTCGGGGTTTTCATTCAAGAGTCTTGCTGAAACGGATTGTACGATTCAAGTGGAAATTTGCGTGCAAGTCATTGTGTAGACAATGATACTTGCGAGTTTAGTTTTAAATTGCTACTTTAACCTTGAATACTATTTTTATTTTTAGTTATTGTGTGAAGCTTTGGCTTGAGCTACATCTGAAATAACTTATTACTGATATTGATTATATTCCGTCATCTTACTTATTTACATTAGGGAATCCAAGAAATTTTAACGATATACATCTTATCAATGTTATCAGAACCGGACCGGACACAAAACCGGATCGACATTTGGGTCACGGTCGGACCGGTTCAACCGGGGTCGACCCGGGTTTTTTAATCCTTTACAATTTTAATTATTTTATTATTTTTAATGTTTTAAATTTACTACTTTTTATTTATTTTTATCTTTCACACACTCTATTCACTTTATTATTCTGTTTTTTACACATATTTCCTTTATTATTCACACCCATTTTTTTTTTTCATATTTTTTTATCTCCTCTCATCTCTCCCACCGTCTTCTCTCGTCACTGCACACAGACATCCGTCCCTATCATCTTCATCACCTGTTTCATCTCCACAATATCTCTTAGTAATAATTATTTTTTTTCCTCTACACCACAGATCCACAACAGATCTCCCCTCTCTCTCTCTCCCTTTTCTATTTATCTTTTTTTCTTTTTTTTCATCTATTTTTCTTCCTCCATATCTAATCACACACAACTTGTTCCGATCATCCACGAACAGATTCATCAAATTCCGGCAGCCCACAGCCAGATCCGTCGAATTCCGGTCGCCCACGACCTACTCCACCCAGATCCAGCCACCCCGCCGGACTCCGCCCAAATGCCGCCACCAACAGCCACCTCCAATGTTGTCTTTTAGTCAAAAACCGGAGTCAATGGCCGGTTTCCGGGTTGAGCGGTTTTGTCCGGTCGAACCGGGGTTTAAACATTTGGACCGGGTTTTTTGTTTTTCCGGTTTTAGGGGTCGGATCGGACCGTTTTCTTCACGGGTCGCGGTCGGACCGGTTCGACCGGCCGGTCCGGTCCGGTTCTGACAACCTTGCATCTTATATATAAAAAGAAGATATTTTGAACTACAACCCTAGATGTAACCCTATGGGTATTTATGTAATTCCATCATTTGCCAACCAACCATTTCTCTTGTGCACATCCGAAAGCTGCTCAATCATTTTTTTTCCCTTTTTATTTTTGTTTCCCATTTTAATTGTCTTATCAGGTTATTGAGATATATATTATACACACGATGATTATATCTAAAGATTAGGGGAAGTTATTTTATTTTTTTCATGAAACTACAGCCACGATGATAATAGAATTCTTAATTATCACATTTCCTTATATAAAAGTAAGTTTTTTTTCATCATGAAACCTTAGATCCATTTTAATGGAATGTTAGTAGTCCTAGGAGTTTTTTTTTTATTTTTGTACTCTACACGATTTAAAAGAAAAAAGAAAAGATAATAAAAAATTGTACACGAGATAATAACTGAAAACACGATCCCCTCTTAACTTCTAAACACGATATGCTCTCAACTTTTATTGGTAACTTCTACATTTTTTTAGAAATCAGTCAGGCACTTTTTCTTTGTCTTTCTTCCAATATTATAATCATTTATAATAGGGGTTCAAATTCATGATATATTATTGCTGATTATTAGGAATCCCAAGGAGATTTCATGGCTGAAGTTGGTGCTGATTTTTTGGCAAGAAGAAGACGAAGACGAAGAGGAAGGGGAAGAGGAAGAGGACGAAGACGAAAAAGAAGAAGACGAAGACGAAGAAGAATAAGAAGAGAAAGAAGAAGAGGAAGAAGAAGAGGACGAAGACGAAGAAGAAGAGGACGAAGAGGATGAAGAGGAGGAAGAAGAAGAATAAGTGGTATTAAAGAGGGAAAAGTGAAATCTTGAGATAGTAAGAGTAGTATTGATTTTCTTTCAGGGCATTAATGTCATTATCTATTATGAATATAAATGGTATTGAAGTGAGAAACAATTGGTATTTGAAATAGCTGCTCCCTTTGTCAAATTCATATTATTTAGTTAAGTGGTTAAATCGATACTTTATGTATATATTTATTATATGATGGAAAAATATATGATACACTAAAATAAAGTAATAGCAATATAATTTGAATTTCATAAATATATA